GGCGCTGAGCTTGCGCGTCCGACAACGAGAAAGGCCACGACAGTGAGAGGCCCACATATCGCAAAAAAAAAAAAAAAAAAAAAAAAAAGAAATAGGAAAAAGGAAGAAAAAGGGAATTCCTTGGTGGTCCAGTGGTTAAGACTCCATGCTTCCACTGCATGGGGCACAGGTTCGATCCCTGCTTGGGGAACTAAGATCCCACAAGCCAAAAAAAAGCAACACAAGCAGCGCGGCCAAAAAGAAAAAAAAAGAAAAAGAAAATGTCATTTTGTGATTGGTTTTAATGTTAATTGACAATTACAGCGAGCACCTTTTTATATGCTTAGCCATTTGTACACCTTCCTTTGTTAAGTGTCTTACTCAAATATTTTGCCTTTCTGTTTCTGTTTTTAAAATTTTTATTACTGAGTTGTAAGAGTTTCAGATATATATGTTTATATAAATTATATAATTTATATCTGACAAAAGACTGGAATCCAAGATATATATATATATATATGTAATTTATATAAAATACATAAACTATATAGTTATATATAATTATACCTGAAAAAAGACATATATATCTCCCAGATTCCAGTCTTTTGTCAGATACACGGTTTTTGTGTTTTTTTTTTTAATTTTTGACTCTTGATGGTGGGATTGTGAGCGATCCTTTTTTTTTTAATATAAATTTATTTATTTATTTAGGTTTTTTTTGGCTGCGTTGGGTCTTCATTGCTGCACGCAGGTTTTCTCTAGCTGTGGCGAGCAGGGGCTACTCTTCGTTGTGGTGCGCAGGCTTCTCATTGCGGTGGCTTCTCTTGGTGTGGAGCACGGGCTTCGGTAGTTGTGGCACGCGGGCTCAGTAGTTGCAGCTTGCGGGCTCTAAAGCGCAGGCTCAGTAGTTGCCCATGGGCTTAGTTGCTCCTCAGCATGTGGGATCTTCTCCAACCAGGGCTCGAACCTGTGTCCCCTGCATTAGCAGGCGTATTCTTAACCACTGTGCCACCAGGGAAATCCCAGGTTGTTCATTTTTAATCTTACTCCTCTCCCTGTCTCTGATGGTTCCGTTTGTAAGCGGTGATTTGGCAGATTTCTAGCATCAGGAGCGAAAACTGAAGGGCTTATATAACTCACAAACCGGATTAGTTGGCCTCTGAATGGCTGAGCTCACTATGTCAATATTCTTTCAAAAGAAGACCTCCTGTTTCATTATGCTGTAAGAGTGCGTATCTAATTGAGGACTAGACTAAGTCCTGGCAAACTGGAAAGTCCATTTAATTTGTCTTCTTGGAATTCATTCTTCTGCACCTGTCCCCAGAGCCACTGTGGTTCCTTCCACCCAGCTGGAAGTGCTACCTGGCCCCCAGATTTTCTCTCCACAGGCAACCCTCTGTGTTCCTGGCTCTTCTCCCTTCTAGTACCTACCAAAACTCTGTCCCCTCACCACCCCTGGGGCCTGTCGTCTCTTTGCTCAGCTGGAGTTAGTAAAGGGACAGAAACCTAGTTCTGTGACGGTGACTGTTGCCAATCTGCTCTCTTTCACAAGATAAATCTGCATTGGATATTGACCAGCCCTGAAACCACAGCATGAATCTTAGAATGTAAAGTAACACAGCCCCTTCATTTTTACTATTGAGAAAATGAATTTCCAGAGACGATCAATGACTTGTTCAAGGTCTCACACTAGCAGAATTTGTGCTAGAATCCCAATTCCTGACTACCAGTTGGCTCAAAGGAATGGCTGCAAGCATCAAGTCCGGTGGCAAGGTGTGGAGAGTGATAGCATCAGAGTCTTCTGCAAGGTTGCCTTCACTAGTGGACAGTGGCAATCAGAGCAGGATCACCTGGTGAGTTAACAGCGTCGATACTGCGTGATGAGAATTGAGAAAAGAACTGAGGATGTCGTCACTGGAAAAGAGGAAACTGAGTGAGAACTGAGGCATAGCTGTGGACCACAGAATCATGACCAACGGGCCGAAGAAGCAGCCAATTTCAGCTTAAGACAAGGAAGGATTTTCTAACAATTAAAGGTGTCCACAGATGGAAGGGGTGGTGGCTGAATTTCCTTGGAGCAGCAGATAGTGAATTCTGTACCACTGGGAGCTTTCAGATAAGCCTCAACTAGGCTTCTGTAGGAGAGGCCCCTTTACTGGGTGGGAGTTTAGAATAGATTCCCTCCTGGTCCTTTACAATTGTTGGAGTCTATGTTTTGTGTCCATCCCATGGCATAGACACATCTACCCTTTAGAGGGAAAAACTTCTGAATGCACTAATACAGGCCCTTCCCTGCCCCGACCCCATACACCTGAGACACTGTGTTGATGGGGTGGTGGTGTCTGGTGTGCTGTGGTGTGGTGTGATACGCCATGGTGTGGGGCTGTATGGTGTAAAGTGGTGTGCTGTGTTGTCATATGATAGGAATCAGATAACCATGGGCAGAGTCTTCTAGGAGTTATACAGCCCCACTGGGGCAGGGACCAAATGGTATTGGAGCAATTTGGGTTGTCAAGGTGAAATGCCAATTTAGTGATTTTTTTTCTGAGCAGCATTGGCTACATCTTTGACAAGAAAGCAAGTCTTCTATGTCATCCTGCAGCTGGTCTGGGAATAATTTGGCAGTCACAGTATTTTATGTCACAACAAAGTGTACAAAGTAGGGTCACGTGCATCACCCATTCACCCACGTTGTCAATTAGAGGGCAGAGTCAGGTATTGAACTGAAAATAAATCTTATCTATTATTTATAGTTTTAAAATTGTGAATGTTTTAAATGGCTGCACTCTGAGGATGCTGATGTGGAGGAGGCTGTGTGTCTGGGGGAGGGGCAGGGGGCATATGGGAAATCTCTGTACCTTCCTCTCAATTTTGCTGTGAACTTCGAAGTGCTCTAGAAAATTGTCTTAAAAAAATTGTGAATGTTTTAAAGTTTCTGGTATAAAACAAATCACAACTCACATGCCAGTTCTGATAAAAGATGAGCATGATTTTAAAAAAATGTTCATGCTGTCTGGGGTTCATGGACAGCTATGGTCTGAATTTGTGTCCCCCCCCAAAAATTCCCATGTTGAGTCCTAACCCCCAAGGAGAAGGTATTAGGATGTAGGGCCTTTGGAAGGCGCTTAGGTCATGAGGGTAGAGAACCTTATGAATGAGATTAGCATTCTTATAAAAGAGACCCCCCTCATCCAAAGCTCCCCTGCCTCTTCCACCATGTAAGGATAAAATGAGAATTCTACTACCCAGTAGTAGGCCTTTACCCAACCATGCTTGCGTGCTGATCTCAGCCTTCCAACCTCAAGGACTATGAGAAATAATGTTTGTCATTTATAAGCCACCCAGTCTATTGGTATTTTATTACAATGGACTGAGCCTGAATGGACTAAGTGGACTTGAGGGCTAAGTATCCTTAAACACTGTACCAGTATTCTCCCAGGAACTTCTGAGAGGGGCTACACTTCGCCCAAGACCATGGATTCTGGACCCTAATAATCTGTTTTATTTGCATATTTTCAAAACATGAAACCTGTTCTTATACAACACATTCAGGAACTCTGGGTAGAGAACAGATTAGCCCCTAACTTTTCGGTCTTGGTTCCTTTTTCCTCTGATAGAGCAGTTCTTCTTGATAAAATTGGTCTTTGAGAATTATTTATTCTGTGAAGGTTCATGGAGAAAACCGTATTTGGTTTTGGTTGGGTTGGGTTTGGTTAAACAGCTCTAAGTGCCTCAGAGGTAAAAGTTCTAACTCTTCTGGGTAATTTCCTTTGAAAGAGAGCAAATGTTAGGCAAAAGAAATCCATGTATACGGTCGTGCCTGGGTATCTGCCAGGGATTGGTTCCAGGACCTGCCGTGTATACAAAATCCAAGGATGCTAAGTCCCTTATATAAAATGGCATAGTACAGTCGGCTTCCATATCCCTGGGTTGCGCATCCACGGGTTCCGCATCTGTGGATGTGGAGGGTTCACTAGCCTGGAAGACTACGGCACAGAATGAAAATAGCATGGTTTATTGGAATCCAGTCTGAAGGGGTGGGATGGGGAGGGACAGGAAAGAAAAAGAAGGAGGGAGAGGTAGAGAGAGGAGCAAGAAGGGGAGGAGAGAGGATGAGAAAGAGACACACACACAGATGGGTTTAACATCTCAACGCTATTTGTCCACACTTTTGGTCCCCATGCTATCACCAAGTTCGAGAGATGACACTGAATACAGAAACAGTGGTAGCCTTTCCAGTTGCCCCCCTGCCTCTAGCTTCCACCTCCCCTTCCCCCCAACTTCCCACCTCCACCCAAATCCATTCTTCACATGCTTCTAGAATGATGGTCTACAATGCAGATGCTGGCGTAGTCTAGTCTCTGCCTCCTTCTCACCTTCTACCCCATCCCTGCTCCTTGGCCTCACGCAAAACTTGATGAGGAGCATCAACGACATCAAGAAGCCTGGAGTGAGAGGTGGTGTGATCTTTGACAGCCCTTGAGCCTGCAGCCTGGGCTCTCCAGTGGGCACCCTGACCTTCCACATCTTTCTCTGAAGGGACCTGGAGTCCTGCTAATTGTTGGACAGGCTGAGACCTTGCCCTCTAAGAAGGAAGTCATGGATGAAATGCCATTTGCTTTTGTTCCTTTCTGGCTATCCTGAAGATCTATAAGCAGAGGTATGTTCTGCATCATTCACAGCTGAAAGGTCATGCTTGACCACATTTATAACTAAAAGGACAGTATGATTCCTGCGGTAAGGTGCTAGCTAATCGTTCTACCAGGAACATTTAGAACACCCCAGCTATGTGTCTGTAGAGAGCTTTTCATATGGTTTTCCTAACTGTTCACTGCGTTAAAGCCTATGTGGTTTGAAATGCTCCACGGGGCAGGGGTCGCCCCCACCCTGACCTGGCCGCCTCCTCCATGCCTGCCCTGCCCCTCACATCACAGAACACTTCTGCTCCGCTGTCTGCCTGATTTCCGAGAAGGTGGCCTGGGCTTTTTCTTTTATGGAATCCAAGTCCATGTTCTGGAGATTCTGTAACTGCCCAAGAACAGAACCCTTATCTCCTTCCCCTTCGTCATCCTCATCGACCATTTTCCGGAGATCTTCGGGCAAATCCACGTCACCTCCAGCCATCTGGATTTGGTTCTCATCCGTTTCACTCTGTGTGGCAAAACAAACACGGAGATGGAGAAGCCATCCTAAAACAAACACACAAATCCTGAAAGCAGCAGGGAGATAGAGGTCTGTTGCGGATGGATGGAGGGAATGGCACATTTGGCCATCTCGCAGCAGAGCCTGGGCCTGGTGCCCGTTATGGAGGCCAGACATCCCGGTTGAGAACCGCCCCCCCACCCCCACCCTTCACTGCACTTGGGTCGATTGGAACCTTCTAGCACAGCCTCCACCTGAATCAGAAACTCCGGGGTGGGGGTCCAGCAATCTGCATTTTAAGAATCCCTCTCCTATCGTGCTGATGCCCAAAAAGTATAACCAACTCCGCCTCAGGGCAGCTCTGCAAGCTTTGTTGTCTATCAGCCCCAGGCTGTTGTGACTCAGGGATCCCACTCTGGAGGGTGGGGTTTGGGTTCACAGGGTCAGACAGTGCTGCCTCGATCCAGCCATCTCTCTTCAGGGGCAACGTCTGTTTAACCATCGCCCCTTCCCTCCCTTCTACTAGACACAGAATCGCCTCAAACTCAACTTTACATCCTTGTCACCTGGAAGCGAGTGTGGCGCACAAACCAGCTTATTAAGTGAATCGTCCAGCACCGTCTAGCCTTGCGTGTCGCCGATGCCTTACAATTTCCTTTTGTGGTCCTAGTTGTGGCCGTCCCACGATCTCTTAGTTCCTGCCGCCTGGCCTCTGAAATTCCTTTACCCTTAGGCTGCAGAGCCCTTTGTTTTGTAACAGAGAAGAATCTAGAGAAAAAGTTTCTCTGGGAAAGGCAAGGGTTTCCTTTCTCAGATGGCTGCTCTTGGATATAATTTTCTGAGAGGTCTCAGATATAAATTTCTGAGGTTGTAACGTGAGGGGAACTGGGCTTTGGGGACACAGAAGTTTAACAAGAGCACCAGAAAAGCGAGTGATGGGAAAGATCTAAGTGATCTTGTGGTCTAAGTGGTGGGAAAGATCTAAGCAGACTGTAGGGCCCACCTCAAGGATGTTGTGACCAGCCTGGAGTTTGTTACCAAAGGGCATAAAAACCACACAAAGGCAAAATGATCATCTCAGTCTTAATCAGACTGCATTGATTTGATTTGAGAAAGATTTGGGCACCTGCCAAGTCCCCACTTCTGATGCTCTGTAGCTCCAGACTTCTCCAGTGGCCTTCGAGAGGCTGGAGGCCACAGCCTTTCCCCAGAGCTCCTTTTATTTGGTTCTCTGGGTAAAGTGACAGCAAGCCTGGCTCCAGAAACAGGTTGAGAGGCCAACTTTTTTTTTTTTTTTAACTCAAAAAGATTTATTCTAAACATTAAAAGTTGACATAATTTGTTGCAAAATGCAGCAAAGGGCTTTTGATATTTCCCCCAAAAAAAACCTTCAGTTTAGGCAAAAACAATGTGAACTTCACTTAGGATGAGGTTGTAAAAACCCCCGCTGGGCAGGGTATGCCATCATGTTGGCAGCCCCAGGGCACCATCGACAGATGAGGATGTGAGGCACCAGGGCGGTTGCCTCAGCTCAGCCGTGATGGACAGGTTCCCCCATCGCTGGCCCCTGCTCAGTTGTTTTCCTTTTGCAAACACAGTGGAGCTAGCTTCACAGAGGCAGTTAGCCAGCCAAAGAGAGAAGTCTCAGTTTTGTCTGGAATGATCTGACGTGGTGTCTCTGCCGATCCTGTTCACCAGCTCTGAGCTCTTTTTTTGTGTTGTCCACACGCGGTCATGGAGCTCAGCGGCTCACCTTCCAACGCGAAACTTCTAGACTACCTGCCCTGCCCTACACAGTGTTCCCTCTTCGTATTTACTTCCTTGCTTTCTTTCCCCACCTCGGGAGGCCGACTTCTGATGCTGAGAAGACGAGGATGACTTTGGGCGGCGTGGTCTTCACCAGGCCCTCCTTGGAGACCCCTGGGAATGGCGACTCTCAGTGTCGACTCCCCAGGTGAGAGAAGCTTCTCTGTGCACTTGGCCAGGCCTCTTCCCCTCAAGGCGCTTAACGGATTAATTAGTTCCTCGTCAAACTGGTGTGGGGATTAATCAGTTAATCCCCAGGGGCTCCCAGCCAATCCTCCATTTCTGTTTATTTTTTATTTACCTACCCTCGAGGTTGCCCTTTGAGGCATCCCTTTGAGGATGGTCCTCAGGGCTTTTTTACAGGGACGGGAGGGAAAGCAGGGCCTCCTGGTTATTCTCAGTTCACGTAACTGCGGGACCCCTGCCCACACATACACGATTTGCAAAGGCATTGCTGAGAATTCTGGCACCCCCGCCCCTCTGGTTCGTAATAAGATCTCTGCACATGTCACCAGGTTCAAACCTGGACAGAGTAGCTGCTGGGGGCCTGGAGGGACAGGCAGCTAGAGGGGCCAAAGGGCCAGCGAGCCAGCCAGTTGGTGCCCAAAGAGACCCGAGGCACTCAGGAGGGCTCCCGGGCCGGTGCTCCCCAGCACCCTCTTCATCAGGTAGCTCAGTGTTCTGCCTCTGCTGCTTTGGACCAGTTCGGGTTTATTTTTACCTCCTTCCACTGGCCCAGGGAAGGGAGGGTAGTGGGGTTCCACTTTGCCTCCCAACTCACAGAGGCGATCTGGATCGGCACAACTTCTAGCCAAGTGGTTCTCAAAGTGGGCTCCCGGGGCCAGCCACAGCAGCATCTCCTGGAATCTTGTTAGAAATGCACATTCTCACCCAGACCTGCTGATTCAGAAGGTGGGGGCGTGGGCCGAGCCATCTGTGATTTAGCAAGCCCTCCTGGTGATTCTGGTGCTTGCTAAAGTTTAAGAAGCCCCGCTCCACATCCCTTGAAGACAGGGGGCTGTGACTTACTCATCAGTAAGTCTCAGAACCCAGCGGAGTGTCTGGCGTGTCGCCACAGACAATAGATATTTATTGAATGACTCGGTGAGCCCGTTGTCAGGGACTATAGCAGCCTTAACAACACTTGAATGTGCAGGCCCTCTCTACTGTCAAGAGCTCTGTTTCATAGCTACTGACTTGTTTATCTTTACACTCCACTGGAGGCAGTGCAGCCTAGAGGTCAAGTGTTGGTTTGAGAATCAGATTACCTGAGCATGAAGGTTACTGCCACCACTTACAGGCTGTGTGACCTTGGGCACCTAACACTACCTCTCTGAGCTTTATTTCCTTATTTATAAATTGGGGTTATGTTACTTGCCTAAGTGTTACAGAAGAGTAGTTAAATGATAACTGAATTCTTTGGAATATATTAAGCATCTATATAATTATGTTATATATAATTAAAGGTAGATACTCCTGAATGTAATGACCTTCAGAGGGAGGGGGAGGGGGAGTTGCACTGCATAGTGTTGACTCTGCACGTGGTGCTCAGCCCCATCAGAAGGCCCCGCTCTCTTGGCCCCTTACCTCTGGCCTGGGAATGAACCCTCCCTACCTTCACTCCAGAGGCTCAGCGTTCCTAGCAAACTGGGCCTATTCATTTCCCTTTTAGCACTAGGCCCTCAATTTTGGGAGAAACCTGCCCAGGGGGTCCAGCTCCCCTTACCCCTTGTCAGGCTCACCCTAATGTTTGTGGGACACAGAGGATAAATACTGATAGAGGTCCCTGGCTTAGACCTGTACCTCTTTTTTCCCCAGTCCCTGGTTCCATCCTTCCATGGGAAGCTTGTGTGTATGGTTCCCAGTATGCAGACTGCCACCCTACTTTTCAGGCCCAGTGGTACTCAGGCCAGCAGCTCAGTGTACCCTCGAGAGGGCAGACCTGGTGCAGAGGCCTGGGCAGGCCCCAGAATGCATTTAGGCAGGGAGTTCAGGGCATTGGGCAGAGTGTGGTCTACAAGAGGGGTGTGGGCAGGCCTGTCCCTTTGGCCGCAGACTTCTCACCCCTTGTGAAGGTGTGGCCGGTGGAGGAACAGAGGAGAGTCTTCTAAAGCACAGGGCCCGGGGCAGGTGGTGCTGTTTGTCCGGTCTAAGGGCGGCACTGGGTGTGGTCAATGGCTGTGGTCAGAGAGTCCTGTGACCCCCATCCTTCTAGAAGGACAACGCTACTGACTGTGCATCAGAAGCGCCATTGCTGCAAGTGATGATTCTAGTACTGGAATCAATTTTCTTGGGCTGCAGCCTGTGCCCTGGGCACATTGTAACTAAGCGTAGGACAACCAGGCAGGGCTAGTGAGTGGCTAGAGGACAAAATGAAGTCCTCTGGAACCGAACCTGAACTCCCGGACTCATTAGCACTGTGGGTCAGCTGTAGACCTAGGACGGGCCAAGGGTTAGGGTCCCTCCCATTTGCAAAAAGCTGCAGCCAACCCCGACCCCTATCCTGCAGAGGTGGCTATGACAGTGGGAAGACTGTGGGATTTAGAGTCGGGAGACCGGTTCTGTCCTTTGCCCACTGCATGACCTTGGGCAAGTCACCTTACAATTTGATGCCCACCAGGTGGGACCCTCAGAGGATTACTGAGCAGATTGAGCAAGACATACTGTGAAACGGCCTTGTAAGTGTCTCAGCTCTGGACAAACAGTAGCTGTGGTTATTAATATTTTAGAGGAAAAAGCGCAGCACAGCGTCAAGATCCCTGATGAAAGGATCCCTGGGAGAAAGAAGGCGTGCACAGTGAAAGAGAGGGTGGGAGAGTACCAGCCCTTAAGAGAAAGATGGGGACAGAGCAAGCAATTCAGGCCCGTCTATGGGATGTATACAGTGGACCCTGGGCCTTGTCTCTCCCTTGCATGACAAACCACCCTGCTGATAGGACCTTGTCTACAATCCACACAATGAAAGTCTTTTCCTGACTTTCTGCTGCTCCAGGTTGGGAATGCTAGGAATATTTTGACAGAGTTCACGCATCAGGAAAAGGCAGCAATGCCTCCATCAGAGCCCACGAGCACAAATGCAGTTACAGCCAATACAAATCAGCTCCAGCGAGTGAGGGGAAGTTTGGCGCTGAGAACCGTGGTGTAGGTGAATAAATGAATGAATGAATGAGTGAGTGAGGGAAAAAGTGAAGTGAACCAGCATA